GATATTAAAGTTGTCACTCAGGAGAGGAAATACGTGATTTCTCAAAACTGTTTGTAAACCATTGATCTACTCTAACCTCTCCCTTTTTAGATAAATGAGGAAACCGAAGGCCAGTGAGGGGATGGGCTGGGCAAAGTCCATGGCACCGTTCCCTGGCTTCCCTTCAGAAGCAGATGCCCAAGTCCACAGAGAACACAGTGTACAGGGTACGCGACACAGTGACTTCCAGAGCAGATCAGTCTGGGCTTCTGACACATGAGCCCTGCCCACATTTACAGGTCGTGTCAGGAGGGAGCTGGGTCTGGAACCCTCATCTTTTAATTCCCAAGCTACATTTTCTGCCCTCCTGAAATTGATACTCTCAGAGCAGTGGTCTTTTAAGCTAAGGCATGTCCCTACACATGTAGGGTTAAGCGGCAGGGTAAAGAGGAGAAATGTGTCACCCAGGGGCATATGGGTGATGCTGCTGGTCCAGGCTTTTTCTTGGACTGTTTCCCTCTGCTCTGCCTCATCCTGAGCCTTCTCCATCTGCCAAATGAGGGCCATAATCCTTGCCACGCCTCTCAAGGGCTGTGGTCAGCACCAAGCAAGACCACGCATGATGATTGTACCCAATGTCAATTAAGTGCCTCTGATGTCTTAGGTACTGTGCGCGACCTGATTTCATCCTCACGAAAACTCTATATTACTAGGGCAGAAGCTATTACTAGCCCAATGTATCACATGAGGAAGAGACTCAGAGAGGTTAAGAAAACTGCCCAAGGACACCCTGCTGATAAGTGGCAGAGTCAGGATCCAAAGCCAAGCAAGCTGATACCAGACTCCTGGCTTGTAACAATTTTCCCTGCACCATACTGCTTCTGAGAATCAGCCTTTTAGGACCTTTGAGTTCATCTAAGCAGATCATCTTGTTTCATAGTTGGGAATACCGGAGGCCAAAGAAGTGGCTTGTCCAAGTTTGCACAATACAGAAGTGGCAGAGCTGGGTCTCAAACGCACGTCTTGAGGCTCTAAATTTCCCATTTTATTCCTTGCATCATGAGATGCATCTTTGAAGGGATTAGATCTGTGACTCTGTGGCTCGGCTGCCTCCCCAGCTGTGTATAATCCTATAGATAGTTGCCTCTCACTCATCCGTCCTGCAATGGATGCAGAAGCGGCCCTGCTCTCCTAGAGTTCACCATCTGGTAAGGGGGTGACAGATACTGAGCAATCGATCACATAGATAACTTTTCTAAGGACCCCAGTTCATACCAGAGAACGCTGTCGCTGAGTGCAAACACCTCCATTCATTTTAAAAGGGAGCATCAGGGTGCATTCCCTTCCAACCAAAGAAATCCAAACAATTTCCAGATTGAAAAAATAAATCACCTGAACAATAAGAAACTAGTTTCTGTAGATAATAAAAAAATTGAGAACAGTCCGCACATAACATGGCATGGAATGGCTTATTGTACCTGTTCTTGTTTGTACGTAATTTTCTTCACCAATGTTTCAACCCTCTGGGGGCACATGGGTATCTTGCAGTCCAACTGGACTTAAAAAACACTAACGTTAAAGCAGCTTTAGGGCAAAATAAAGGCTAAACCCAAGAGTGTTTTGAAACTGAGGAAAAACTGAGAGTCTTGGAAAATGCCACTTCACTGCTCTTGCGGGGAGTAAGTGAGCAAAGGAAAAAGCTCCTCGTTCACCCAAATATGGCACACAATTCGAATCTGTTCTCCACGTCCTCTGACCAGAAATTGCTTTAGAGTTGTCAATTGGTGAGTGTTTTTGCCTGAAACCACGGTGTCAAAATCTCTTTCGGCACATTTATTTAGTGTGCTTGCATGGAAAAGCTAACACACCCAAACAAGGTCGTCCTGTTTAGAAAGTGGCACAGCTTTATAAAAGTCACAGCAAAAGCTGGTGATAGAATATGTGTTTCATGAGGTGAGTCTGAATGATTCATTACGACCCATGAAAAGTGCCGTGAAGGAAGAAAAGTGAGCTCAGAAAACCTCGGTGGGGTAGGGGACACACCTGGATCGGGTGACATTGAAACCAGAGGCCTTTTCCAGTTGGACAATAGAATATCCCTCAACAAGCACGCAGGGCTAAGAAAGAAAGACACACCTGGGCAGAGCTGTGGGTGGTATTTCCTTTTTAATCTCCATAGTGTATTTGTTAAGTTTATTTATAAGCAGATCACTTCACTATTTACAGTACATGAGCATAGAGATTCTACAGTTTTTGTGATGTAAACAATAACTCCGCAGTGGGAGTTTGAGAAAAGAAGCCAGTTCTGAAGTATTTACAGACGTTAAAATAGAACTTTATACTCACAGAATAATAATACATAGAGCGATTTGGTTAAATTATCTATGAAACTATAGAATCTGACAATGTACAAATACAGGAAAACATTTTCTCATTCAGAAGGTAGGACAGATAAATCACACCAGAAATAAAATAGGGACGATGACAACCACAATAATTAAAAGCAAAGAAGATTCCTTCCTTGCCTCTTACGGATAAAATATTTATATAAATAAGGACACAACCCAACAAAATGGAAAAAATATATAAAAATCCTCTACCAATTAAAAAAAATAGCAAAACTAAAACCTCAATTCCCAATCACTAGCAGTGTCCTTTATAAAACTAAAATTTAGCTTTCTATTATAAATAACAAAGCAGATGTGTCCCTCTGTGTAGGTGAAATTCTTGCACCTTTCTCAAGAAATGCATCAATGTAATTCCACACATACACACAAACACAGACAGGCATGCGGGCGCATGCGTGCACACAGACACACACACACACACACACACACACACACACACACACACACAGCCTTGCACTCACGCACCCCAGGCTGTAGTTCCTTGTTGAGCTTCCTAATAAATAATGCCCCCTACGGTAGTACCCCTGGGGATGCCCAAACCTCACAAGGTTAGCCATTCCCTGGTTTGACCCTGTCACAGAGCTGGGGAAAGTCCTGGCTTCCTATTGCTCAGAATTCTCTAGGCTGCGTAGTCACACCAAGAGAAAAAGATTTGAGTCCAAGATTTGGAAATGCTGGAACAGACCACAGGGACCACCTTGCCCAGATGATTAAGGCTAGCTACAGACACCGTCTCTTTAGAAATCTGGGGTTGGGGAGAGAGATCTTGTGTTGGTTTCAACATTAGCAGCTGCCTCTGGAAGAAGCAGATGCTCAAAGTCAACGCTAACACCACAGCACAAGGAGGTGAAGGGGGCGGGTGTTAATTTCCAGAGCAGATTGCACCAAGCCAGACTTTGGGATGGTCGTTCTCCCCAGAAACTATCTGGAAATCCAAGTGGCCCACTCCCCGTTCCACTGGCCACCCTGACCACGCACCCCTTGAGATTTCCAAGCTGTTCCGCCAGAATCGGAACATCCCTCAAGAAACAAAGTCGGAAATAGTTTATGACTTTTTATTCCTAACACAGAAACACTTGACAAGATTTTAAAATACAAAATATAGAAGCAAAAACAAACTAATGACAAAAAATAACCTATTTGGCTATTCGGTGGGCCATATCAAAAGCCATGGCCAGCTCCTACTCAGAATCCTGACATCTAACCTTTGCTTGTCCTGAGGGTACAATGTGGGCCACCTAGCAGAGGTTCACTTAACAGGGTCAGCAGCTGGGCTGCCAGTATTGCAGTTATAGTAAACCCCTCCCAGGCCCCTAGACACAGGGTCCACTCCTTCTCCTCTGCCCACAGGAGAGCTAGTAGGCTTCTCAGTCTGCGTGTTACACTGGGCTCTAAACACAGAGACAGTTCGCTCATGACATTACATTTCATTCCCAAAGTGGGTGTTGGACAGCAAGGTGGTGGAAAGGATTTATTTGCCTTCCATCTGAGTAGCTGGTGGATACAGTCTTTGGCCACTAGATGGCGACTAGACATTGATAAGGCAAAGTGCTGAGGTGGAAGCGAACCAATCCGTTCAAAAGTCACCCAGAGCAAGGCCAGCAAAGTGGAAAAGGAGGCTTTATTAGGCTCCCTTGAAGGATCCTTTGACAAAAAAATACAGCACAGAGGGGGTTCTAGCTACATAAACACTTCTTTGTGGTGCTTTTGCACAGCCTAGGGACCGACCACCTATAAAAGCGTATTTTCCAAGCCCCCGATTCAGGCAGTTGGATTTCTGCGCTGCTTATGGATGTGCAAGGCATTCTGATGAAACAGAATATCTGAAAATCTGTCCCCTCAAATCTCAAAGCTTCAGTCACCGCTGCTATACCATTAAAGAAACAAAAAAAACAAAAGCTGCCCTAAACATATGCAGCGTGATCAAGGCCTCCTGTCGCCCCATATGTTCTACAATCATTTGAAAGAAATGTGTGAAAAGTGCCTAAGTTAAGTTGTTTTGGAAAAAAAAAAAACAAAAAAAAAACAAAAAACAGTGTATTGCTAGTATTATCTGAGAGCAACAGAGAAACAGCCAAGTGGTCATGACATTCGGATTAAAAACTGTTTGGTGGGCATGATGACAAGGTTAATGTGAGATTCTTGACATCGCCACCTAGCCACGCTGGGGCTGAACTCACCATCCCCACCAGAAACTATGGCTTAGATCTGTCCTGGGGAGCTGGCCTCCTCCTATAAGGTAGCTCGGCCAGGACCGTGTGGGTTGGAATCTGCTGCTGGTTGGTTACCTTGCAGAGATCTTCACCCTGAACTTGAGCTGGGCACAGCCGGAGAAGGGAATCTGAGGCTCTCAGAGGTGAAAGGACTTGAAGATTCATCCCATCCAATATTCTCATTTACTAGATGAGTAAAGAGAGCCCAGGATCCCACAGAAAGGAAGAAACATCGAATTTCTCGCTCCGAGATGGCTTATAGTTAAATGACTTGCTCTGTAAATCCATTTCAATCAGCTGGGAGGCTTTTTTTTTTTTT